ATCCACCATTAAATACATCCACTCATCTATGTTAATAAGGCAGACTTCGCAATTAATTGTTTAAATAAACTTAAATTCATTGCTAGAGGCAATACATCTGGCACCGCTGTTTCAATGATACTTTCACGATTGCTAGCAAAGCAGTAAAGTAGAAATGGTTTTCTTTGTGATGAATTTTGTTCACCAAGAGTTTTGTGAAGCAGTTGTTTTGAGTTTCGTGTATTCGATTGCGTTTAATTGTGCTATACTTCGAAGAACACAAGTAAGTAAATACAGTGATTGTGTTTTCCCCAGGAAATTTTCGTGTTTTACCCACGAAATACATGTTTTAAATTTTCGTATTCATAATATATGAATGTATGTGTAAACTAATGATGATGATTTTATGATATTTAAAAAAGAAGAAGAACACAAAATTACTTACCCTTTGTAGAACCTTAACGTCGCGTGAAAATGGATCTTAATAAAGGCCTCTTTCGTAGCTTTTAGTTTAAGGATTTCAAAGATCGTCGGTTGCAGTGGCTTGCTTACTGAGCAGAAAAACGCGGTCCCAGATCCTTTCATATTAAAAATGTATGGTTAGATCGCTTGTTTATCGAGAATTTTGTAAAACTTTTCGTTGTCGTCGGTGCCGGGTCTGAATAGTTATAAAAACTTGAGTAACGCTATAATGTGATATAAGGGGCTCGGTGGCCTTAGCACAACCGGTTTTGCTTACTGAGCAGAACATCATGAGTCTAATCTCAAGCCCATCCACATTCAAGATTCGTCAATCGTTTTATTTGTTAACATGACTACATGGTAATAACAGCAACTCGATGATTAAAAAGGAGCTCGTCTGCCTAGTGGCAAACGTTTTTGCTTACTGAGCAGAAGACCATGGGTTCAATCCCAAGCTCCTTCGCGTTATATGATTGTTAGGACATCAATTCAGCTTATCGTTTACCAAAACGAACCATGCTGCAAACCCAACCCTATTACCCAATATTCTAATGATTCCTCGTGGAAGTGCAGAGGTGTTCTCGGCTTCCATCAAAGCGACTGTCACGTCAACACATTCCTACCCCTTCCTTTCTTGACCTGTGTTCGGGCGCGGCCGGCGCTGGTATTGCCTAGTTTGAGATCACCAGTTTTTACACATTGAGGATGATTGCTAGTCCCAAACATCGTCTATTGGTTCTCTGTGTAATTACAGCTGGTCTGGCAATAACAGAGTAGCGACCGTGGGCGGTCAATCATGCTCATGCTCATGCTCATCAAACATGGAGTTAAATTTAAGCATATCAGAAATCATGTCTATTAATGATTTCTGTAAAATTCCATTTTAGGGGCAATAATGCTTACTAAGTCAAAATTGTCAAAATTTCCGTTAGAATTACGTTGGTTAGTATTTTCATTTCTACCCGGTGCAATAGCGGCATAGGTAGCTCCATTAACTCGCTGAACATTGTTAGCAGCGGGTACAAATGTAGAATTTGTTCCTCGATGACCGTTGTTAACAGCAGAGTAATTTGTAGCTCCGTGTAACGTGGAGCGTTTCCTACCTGTTTCCTAAATTTCTTAGGATCTTCCTTCACAGGACAGTCGTCCTTTGCGTGAGAGGAATCACCACAATTCATGCATTTAGCTGGCATGTAGCAATTTTTAGTTCCGTGACCCCATCCCTGGCACTTACGGCACTGGGTGAGGTTTTGGAAATTTCCTTCAATCTTCCTGAAGTGTTCCCACTTCACTCGGACATCGAGCATAAGGCTAGCTTTTTCTAAGGCCTTAGGTTGTTTAGTTCACTAGACTTGAAGTGAACTAAATAAAAATCATTAGAAATCCCGTTGCGCGAATCGCCAGGACGGGATTTCATTTTCATTTTGATTACTTGGAGTGGCACAACTCCAAGTAATTTTGCCAGTGCATCTTTGATCTGATCCAGGGATTCACCACTGAGCAGTCCTTTCATGACAACCTTGAACACACGTTCAGTTTTGGTGTCGTAAGTAAAAAAAATTGTGCTGCTTCTCAGTAAGATACTTGAGAAGACATTTAAATCCGTCCAAGGTTTCAGCCAACACACGGTATTCACCCCGACGTCCAATTTGCAGTGAAAACTTAACTTTCACGAAGTTCAAAAATTCCATGCGAAGAGCATGGAAATCGGAAGTGGTTATCACAATAGGGGGAATCTTTTCCTTCTTGGCATTAAGCCGGGAAAGTTTACTAGAATTTTTTCTTGGATGATGGATCATTCTCATCATCCGTGAGCAAATCAAATTGATTACTCAAATTAATTTCATCAGAAGGGGAATCAAGAGTTTGCCCCTTTCTTTTGCGTTTAGGCGCCATGGCGGCAGTAAATTTTTATCCAAATCGACTTCCAAGCAGATTACTAAAAGAATCTGAAGGATCGAAGGATCCAAATCAAGAAAGATTACCTCGGGTAGGGTCCAAACAAGGATCGCAGAGAAATAAGAGTTGAACAAGGTAGAAATTTTACAGGTTGAGCACTGAAAAGTGCTGTTTAAATGTGTTGTAGCTTTAGGTAGTAGTAACACTTCCTTCAGCAAAAAGCAAATAGATCCGCACGGCAAGAGAGCACGATGGGGACTGAGATAATTGCCCCATCATTATTCCATCCACCCATTGCCTCCGAAACTTTTAAATTGTTACATAAACCTATAGGGTAGAGAACAACTTCTTCATAAGAGCCTCGTCATAACGAGCAGAATACATCAAATATGTCAATTATTTAAACATGAACGAATCAGTTTAAAAAGACCGCATAGTTTGAATATTTACGTTCACTCTTCTCGAAAACAAAACAAGCACTTCTAAAGAATTTATTTTTTTCGGCCTCCATCAATGTGGAACCCGTATAATGAATTTGTAATCAAAAGGCTGTGTTAGATTTTAATCAAAATTACAAATTGTGACTCTTCATCAAATCTAACGGTACAGAAGGAAAGGTAAATAAGAAACATTGTAAAAAGTAAAATTGATTTAGGCTCCGCATAGCATTCTTATTTGAGCCTTGTTAAATAAATGAAAGGTAATAAAAAGGAAAAGTAAATAAATTTAGATGTCATCTTTAGTAGAAGATTTCAATTTTTGTACGAATCCTTTCAAAAAAGAGAGGTAAAGTGCGAGATGTGCGAGTATGACGGAAATTAGATCTTAACCCTAGTTAATAAAAAGGATTGCTGCGCGCATGCCTCAGCTTAGTACCTACACACTTAACTAGCATTTAGGAGTTCTGTCATTATTTCAACTGACTTTATTAAGTAATCCATAATTTAAACCGAAATCTCAGTTAACACAAATTACTTATAATTAATTCAACGAAAATTCTTTATCAGGGTAATGAAAATAAATAAAATAAATAAATCAATGGAATGAAATATCTAAATTATATAATTTTATCTGGGGCCTGTGGGTACAATGGGATACAGATGACTACTAGATGAAATGATAGTATTTTCACTATAGTTTCATCATATTGAGGAGCCGTCTGTCCCTTTTTGCCTATTTGAAGTTTGTTGATGCATAGCCTAATTTTAAGCTGATATTGCCTCTAACATTTTCTGTTTTGCAGATAGAACCTTTTTGTCTTCAGTAAAGTTGTGTATTATTAGTCATTATAGTACATTAGTACATTATAGTCATCTAAAACAAATAATAGTAATATAATAAGTTCCGAACTAAAACGTAACTTCATTCAATGGGTCTTTTCGTTTATAAAAACTCTTCTGAAGACACCCTATTGAAAAAAAAACCTCTGTGAAAGATGCTAATGAAAAAAGTTCATGCATTTGGCCTTTTGCACCACTGTGCGATGGTATGATTGACAGCCGGAGTCTAGTAAAGAATAAACATCGTCATTTTCTTTGTCCTAAGGATTCGATCGTGGTGGTGTGAATTCTACTCCAACAATTGCAGGGAGATTGACGCACCCTTCTTAACAAACCATCCTGTGGGAAGCTATTGCGAATTGTGTTATTCGTTTTGTTGCATCGTATCGTTGGAAGGAGACTCTCATTTTCCCGCGTGTTTCGCATAAGTGACTATTGCTTACGGGTCCGCCCGTTTTTTGGCCCTTCATACAGCGTTATTGTAAATTCGGACCGGTAACTCAATTTGATCTTGCTATTAAGTGGAGCCGCATACAAGATAAGATCTTCGAAGGGATGGTGGCTACCTTACATACATTCATATACAGAAAATCCCGGCGGCGCCGACTAGGATTGAACACAGGCCTTTTGGGGTGAGAGGCAATCACGCTTACCACTGCACCACCGGCGCAACTGGTTATTTTAGTTACGAAGTATAGTCCATTATGTTAATTAAAACAGTGTCAAAAAGTGAAAAAAAAAGCTTTTATACAAAATCCAATCGACTTCTTTTTGTAAAAAAAAAATTAAATGCTGGCTATATTTTGTAAACATGATATCCATCAATATAGGATAGGGAAGGTAGTTTTGGATGGACTTGCTGCATCTTTTTTTTAAACGATGTTAACCATGATCAATTTTGGTTGTGTACATACTTTACAACACACCAAATCACTTATCTTCCCTAAATGCGGACATTACCAATTTTGTTGGAATTTAAATAAGTAAGAAGGGTCAGATCTCACCATTGGTGGATAAGATCAGGTTTTTTTTTTTCTATAATATTTAATATATACATTTTGGAAGTATCATAATTAAACACAATTAAAATAAATTAAATAACTGAATTTTAAAGTATTGCAATGACAACAAAACATCACCAAACAAACCTGACACTGATAAACTAAATACTGGGAGTCCCGCGATTAAAAAAAAAACATAGTAAAATTTACCGACTCCAGCAATTTAAAGTTAGTGTGTAAGCCTGGTTGTTGTTAAGTTAATGTTCTAGGAAACGTTTAAAAAGTCTAAAAGCCTACTTTAGAAATACACCGAAATTAGGAAATTTCTCTTTAATCACACAGAGAATATGTCGTTTGTGAGTTATTCTGTCATACTTACATGCCTGACAAGTCGTCCTGATCCAAATCGTCCGCGGCAAGGAGATCTTCGTCTGTATTTCACAGAATTAGATTGCACGAAATGTGATGTCACCGTACTTTGTGGAGGATTATTTGTTGGACAAATGTTATCATCATCCAAGTTGAATATTAAATCATCATCATAACGTTTCAATTGCTCTCTAGTGGCTGAATTTGCTAGATGTTTTGATTTTAACGTATTGTGTTTGAATGGCTCTCCCAATCCTAAAGCCATCCCAGTTACTAATAATTGTATTTCGTCATTCTCTGGTAGATCCAGTTTAAAACGAAGATCGCATATTGCACAAGGTATCATTGCTCGTAGTTTAAAATATATAGCTTGTAATAATCGCTGGTAGTGTTTTGAAAAGCTTATATTTGGTTGATTGGTAGGAAGCTTTGCTCGCCAAACCTGGGTAAACATCTGTAGGTTTCGCACTACTTCCACATCCTGTAATCCAGGTACCACTTGCGTATTCACGACATCGAATCCACTGAAAGAATACAGATAAAAATACAGTGAGTGATTTACTTTCTTTGTAGCATTGTACAGCCGAACTTACTCAGGAGGACAAGGTTCCATAAGAAGGGATATGATTTCTAGGTCATGAATATCATCCACTTCTAACATACAGGTTTCTTTATTGCCGTGGGTGAGATCAAGGTCCATCATCTCTTCTTCGGAATCATCTGAATCATCAGGTTGAGCTATGGATTTATTGTTTATGAATACTTCGTTAAGGTGCTTTAGCTGACAGAATTCTCGGTTTCTCTCAACTGTTTCCTGAATCGACTTTTGTAGTTCCAACAGCTTGTCAGAATCTGCCCATGAATTTCCTGCCACAATCTTTGGAACGGCAGGTTGTGGTAAAGCGGAAAGATAGACAGCAGTGCCAGTAGCTACAAGCGCCATCATTCGTTCTCCAACTGCTACTGATGTTTTTAAACCGAAAATGGCATTCATGCCTTTCATTTTTAGTTTATTGATTAACAATTTATGTAACTCTATTTCAAGAAATGGTAGCGCATCTGACATCTCCTTAGCATTTGATTCCCCTTTCAGATCACGCTTTGATCTGCAAGCATGCGCCTGTATTAGTATTCCACGTCCGTCAACCTACGACAAGCAAAACATTCGTAAATATTATTATAGGGCTGGTGTACCAGTTATGACTATGGCCCTTATTACGGGTGTCACTTCACGGTGAAAATAAAGTGAAGTGACCAGTTGTCACTCACGGTGAAGTGATTGCCGTGTAAATCAAATGGGAATCACTTCACCGTGAGTGATAAGTTGAGGAAATCTTTCGGGTTGGATTTATCTACGCTGGGGCAAAGAGTATATTTGTGCTATGTAACCCTAAACATCTGATAAAACCCTGATATGTAACCCTGCAAATCTAACCATAGCAACATCAATTGAATCTCTACTTCAAATTTTTGGCTTTTACATCCTATCTGGAATCCTATATCTTAACTTAGTATTTTTGTATACTTCCACAGATGTTAATTAAGAGTTTTTAAGGTCACGATGCACGGAATCCATTTTTCATACGATTTGTTTTAACGCTTGCATGACCCACATCTAGCAATATACTTAATGTGCGATGTTCTAAATGTATTTTAGTTTTTGCTGCAGAGAAGGGTGCCACCCCTACATTTATGTATTCAATTGTACAAAAATGTTCAGAAATTAGCACAATTGTGCATTTATATTTCCAATATACATTGTTTTCGTGAAATTTGGGAACTGTATAAAATAGCATCAAAAATAGTTTCCATTTGAATTCTTTGACGCACATAGTTTATATGTTTTGAATAAAAAAAAAAGTATCGTTAAGTCAATATTTTAGTGGAATAAACAATAAAAGCAGTTGCTGTCATACCTAAGAATAGTAATTTGTTGTATAGAAATGAAAATTTATCAGTTTCACTTCATTTTAGACATAATGGTATTTTTGCCCCATAAGAGTGGCCTTCTTACCCCGCAGCATTTTTTAGACCAGGTACGACATGACATTTTGAAAAAATCATTAACATTGTTTGATGGGGTTTAATTTTAATTTCAATGATGATACATGGAGACAAGGTTTCAAACTTACAATTCGGTACACGAACTCCTTTAAATATTCACGGAATCGCATATTAAAACGCGCTATCGTTAGGGTGACCTTCTTGCCCCTAGTTCCCCTAATATTTTTATGAAAAAATTCTTGTTACCACCTCTGGTCGAAACTCATAGCACTCGAACGCAAACTAACAACATCATCTTTTTGGGTATACAGTAATCGAGAAATGTCTTGACAGGACTTGGAATTGAATCCACCACCTACGGCATCAATAGTAACTAACGTAATATCATTTACCTATGGCAAATGTGGCTAAGCAAACATAAAGATCAACACCGGCGAACAGAAACGTCAAAAATGCTCACCTGTAGTCCTTCAGGAATTTCTATGGTACACAGCAGCACATCAGGTACGTATCCATTTCTTTATATTTTTATTAAAGAGCAAAAAAGGTAAATATGATAAGTGTTAGATGGACTGTAAATAGCTATTTATTTTAAAAATCTATTGACTGCTGTTCACCACTGTTTCCTTAGTTTTCTACTTTTTACTGTTAGTTTTATACTGTTTGCTAACCGAGTGAACTGTTCATTTTAGGATTTTCAATGTAAACTCTAAGGGGTAATTAAAACATTACGTAAACTCATCAGGAGAGAAGAGAGCAGTTGCGAGCGATTTGCGTGAATGGGCTGAAATTCAGGTTTGTTTTCTTTTTTTTTTTCAAAATACGAACGCACGAATTTTATTTAAAAAAATTGTTGCATGAAAACGTCACTTATAATCGAAATGACGTCGCGGCAAAGTTGCAGAGAAAATACAGTATAGGAAAAGTTGATGATGAATGAAATAATTGAGAAATTGTTTGTCAAATGTAATATTTATGAGCATAGATGGAAAACATGTTCAGTCGTACTTAAATATAGATATTACCTGCAAATTTCACACTTCATCATACTAACTCTAAACGGGATGGAAGTTTGAGAGTATGGAATATGGCATATTCCGCAGTGACTAGCTGTTGGTTGTGATGAAGTAGTTTTATTTGCCAATTCGGATGTATCTTTAACCGTCCGAGTCTCAGGTTGTAAATTGACTTCCATAGCTTCTCCTTCAATGCTTTTCTGATTATCAGAAACATCGGAACATTTCATGGTGGAGCTTAATTCTGCTGCAGTATTCAAATCCTTATCAAAGTCCTGCCCTTCCATAGATGATGTCATGATTTCCTTATTTATAGACGATCCGTGTAGTCTGATAACGCTATCATTTGAATCACCTTGTTGTAGATTTATGACTGTTGCTGTTCCAATAGCAGACAACACACAAACGTCTTCCCTGTAAAATAATAGATACTGTAATTAGACTGGCAAAGTCGCGAAGAATGAAATAAAAACCAGAATGTCCACCTATAGTGAGATCTGACCCTCCTTACTTAAACAAATGCTGCCAAAATTTCTCAAAACAACATTCAGAGAAGACAACAATTAATTTCTGAATTATATGTGAATCTGTCCATTGGTTGATGTATTTAGATTGCTTTTTCGGAAGCACCAAAGTGGTCTGGAAACTTAGTATAAAAATCCATGCTTTTGTCACAAATTCAATTAAACCTCTACTGTCAATTTTTATTTTTTATTCTTTTTTGCTTTCTTGACTAAGGCAATATGAAAATAGGTTGTAAATTATTTTGGTCTAGATCAATTTAGCTTGTCTAAAGTAGTTTGTGTTAAAAAAAACATTTATATTATTTTCCAATTTTCTCACGAACGATTGAACCAATTTCAGCCAAACTGCTGAAACTAGCCTCATTGACTGTTCAGCCTTCAGCCTCATTGCGATGTAATTTTCTTTTTGAAGAGCATTTTTTTCAATGAAATATTTGTTTTTATTGAAGATCATGAAACATGTTTTTTCAACATATCTTCACATAATGATTTTGTAACCGATCCAAATCCAAATGTTCATGTAAATGGAAATAAAAAGCGTATTTTCCAACTATTTGTTAGACATTTATTTTAGCGCCAGTTTTTTTTTTTTTTTAATTTACCCCGCCAAAAGGCAAGCTTGGGCAATAGATTGTTAATGGACCATGTTGATGGATAAAAATCGCATTTTTTTTTAATTAATAAAAAAAAAAAATCTTAACTACAGATCACTTATTCGGTTAAGCAGTTGAGACGATTTTTACCCCGTGACTCTTTCTCATGATAAAATATTCAAGGTATTTAATTATACTGATGTTTCGAATCTTCATCCGGAGACCATTCAAAGTCTTTGACAAGATCATATTTATTTCAAAAATCACTGCTTGGGTACATTTCATATTGTTGCACAGAAAAATCAAGGCATTCTTTGATCAAATATACGAGACAATCAATTATAATGTTGTTCTGGGTCTTCCGATGAACATTAAGAATTTATAACCATATTGTTGGTTTTAATCAGTACTATTCATAGATGCCTGTTGTGGTGGCACAGTAACATCTTGTTCTAGACGACTGGTGCTTCGGACCCCTCTTTTAAACCCGGAATAAAATCGAAACCACTAGGCCCATCTATTCCAGTTTTCAAAAACCGTAACTGTACATTTGTATACTAGGCTAAACGTACCTATAGTGGAGGTACGATAGTGCAATGTGTTCCTATAGTGGGTTATAGAGACTGCATAAGCCACTATAGGAACACATTGCACTAACCTATAGTGGAGGTGCGTTTACCTTATCTGTCAGATTTCAGCCAATTTCATGGCGAACCAAATAAGTTATATCCATACATATTGCTGATCTTATGCCTGGTCGAAAAGAAAGAAAACCGTGTAGTACAGCTTTTGCCACTCACTCAAGTTAAAGATCATCTTCAAGGGAGATCATGTCAATTGTCAGTGATAAACATGTGCAGTTTTTCAACGGCGTAGCCAGGTTTCAAGCTAGGGAGGGGTGAAAAAAAATTTAGTATGGAAAATTTGGCCGAATACCATTTCTCCTAACGCCATTTCACCGAAAGCCTTTGTGTTGCTGAGTTTAGCCCCCCCCCCCCCTACTTCCATCTGGCTACGCCTATGCACTTTTTGTTAGCACCTGAATTTGTAACAAAGGTTTATGTGAGAGTCAATTGCACAGGTCGATGTACATTGCATTTCACACGTTAAAACTGTCTTTTGAACGGTTATTTTTAACGGATTATTTTGTATGGATAGCTGTTATAATGACTTTTTAATAATTATTGTAGCACTGAAAAAACTATTTTGTTCGCCACGATGGTGATGATGGATTTTTAATATTTGATGTAATAGTAGTAAATTTAAAAAAAAAGAAGTCTATAAAGGTTTGAGCCTCGCGCACGTATTACGGATATAGAGGACTGAATTTAACATTTGATAAAAAAATGCAACTTTTGAAGCTTATTTGGAAGATACCTTGTGTTGCAAGTTTTCTGGCAAATGTTGGGGGTTCGTGAGCATTCCTGACACTCTGAAAATTATGATAGCATCAGATTGTGGGGTTGCTAGTGTAATAGGATGCTTTGTTGATTGTTCATTAACTCTTGATCGCTTGTAATACTTATGAATATTTTAGGTGGACAAAAAGGCGAACTAAGAGGTGGACGCCTAAGTTTTTTCTTATTTATATCGCTGTGAAGCAACTGTAAACTCTAGAGGGAATTTATATCTGTAACTGTAACCAGTTCGATTTTGTTTGCCAACCTGGTTAAAATATCATATTTAATAATCTTAAAGATAAATCGTCCAGTTCAAACCAAGAGGTGGGACATTCATCATCATTCATCATCATCATCTTCTACCCATTAAATCTTAACTTTTACAGAATATTGATGATTTCACCGTTAAAAAAGTCAACTGTTCAAATCACCCCAAATTCCACTTTCGTTTCTGATCAGCTGCATGAAAATGCAGCTCCATTTTTGCTGCATCGTGTGGGATATCTAGTTAAATATTTTACGGAAGCTGATAATTATGCTCAAGAAATTTCGAATTGTTAAGGGGCAACAACTGGTAGAGGAAATAACGGATTCGACACTATTTTACCTATTAAAGTCAAGGGGTAAATGAAGTCTTAGATTGTTATTTGTTTGCAAACCAAGCACCTTCATGCAAAACATAAGCGCTATCAATAAGTTATTTTTTTCCTGCTCGGGTCGTATAGGCTTTCTGTTGTAGCTTATGAGCTAACGCATCGAAACAAACGTATTATTGATTTGTGTACGGGGTATTGTATGGGTGGTGGAATAGTCGATCGATCGTCAATCGGTTTGGACGCGTTTTTTAATCGTTCCTAGACGTGCGTTCTGTGCTTTTTTTTTTGCACACGTTTCGTTCTCGCTGTAGTAATTTCGAGCGATAACTGTTGGTTCCGTTCATTTCAATATGAATTGTGAAATTTGTTCATTTGACTCTTCCGTTGATTCGCTGATGTGGAAATGCATCGGCTGTATACGCACATTTCATGCAGCCTGCGTAGGAGTGACCGTGCAGAGGAATTCACTACGCAGGAAGGACAATAAAAAAGTAGGGGATTTTAATTCTTATCTTCTACCATGCTGCGACTCATGACAAGAGCATCTGCAAGCAAAGTTAGAATTCAATCAATTAGCGGCTCAACAAAAACTTCTAACGGAGTAACTGCATGCCAACACAGAAGTGACACATCGTTTCGCGATGCAGCAAGAAAATCCTAGAATTGTTCACGAAGCTGTCGAAGGCCTGGAGGTACTGCTGGTAGGCATAAAAAATGAACTGTCTGCAATTAACAGAAACAGCACCTTAGCTGGCAGTGTCGTTGCCATCAAAAATCACACTACATCGCTTTTCGATACAGCAATGATGGCAACGAAAGACAGTGTGTCTACGTCATTGAGAACTGTGACGTCAGATATATCCACCGAGCTCCGAAATATCAGTAATGAAATAAATCAACTGAACCAGCTGTCGCTCGACATTGCGGCAAGTTGTACCATGAGCTCTAACTCTGTGCTGGAACTCGATATTCTTGACGAGCTGAAGTCACTGTCAGCAAATATAGCCTCAACACGGAGCGCTGCACCTTTGCAATCGCCATCTGACTCATGCCCCAGCTTGGAGGTGGAATTAAATAACAACGATGACTCAGGGTGGCGTCTACTTGGTACCAGGAAGGTATGGAAGGCAGACTGGACCGAGTACGATGCCGGAAAATTACGCCGTTTGATACAGCAAAAAAATAGCTAGAAAGGCTAGAAGGCGAAGGAAACAAAACTTGCTCAACAACAACAACAAAAACCACAATAACAACAACCACAACAACAACAACAACAATAATAACAACAACAACAACAACAACAACAACAACAACAACAACAACAACAACAACAACAACAACAACAGCAACAACAACAACCACAACCACAACAACAACAACAGCAAAAATAACAACAACCACAACAACAACAACAATTTTGGCAACAACAACAACAATAGCATATCTAACAATCGTCTTCTTCTTCTTCTTTTCCTTTATTTAACGTCTGTCTCTGTTCCGCAATCTAGTGCCAATCACCGACGGACATCGATTGCCATCCATTGACGGCAACCGAATGTGCAAGGAAGGCAGCTTCCACACCTGCGTAGAATATCGCACCCATTCACAACAACACACATGGGCCGGGACCAACGGCTTTACTTCCCTTCCGAAGAAAGACGTGACCAGAGATTTTTATGCCTCAGAAAAATCCCACCGAGCTCGGCTGGGATTGAACCCAGACCCATCGGGGTGTTAGAAAGCAGTCACGCTTACCACGACACCACCGGCGCCGGCCTAACAATCGTCGAAACAACAACACTAAGCGTAACAGTTTCCACAGAAGTGTTAGTCAGAATAGAAACAACCTACTGCCACCTGATCGAGAGCTTCTTGCGGCAGCGAAAGATCGGTTTTCCAGGCCGCCGCAGGCTAACTATCGACCCACAATGCAATTCCAATGAGGGGAAATCTTAACCCCCAACCCGGCGTGCGACGTATACTCACGTACCGTTCCAGCGCACTTGCATAACGGGATGGCTGCAACTGCATCATGTACGAAATTGACGCATCCCTGACCCCGACATTATCAAGGAGAGGCACTCGTGTTTTCTACAAAACTGACACGCTCCATAGAGGAAGAAAATAACGAAGATCACGACACTTTACAGAACGAAACAAATTCGGAACATGGATCAGGGGTAAATAATTTTGATAATAGTTTTATGAATGACAGGTTACCATCAACTTCTTCACCTAATCTTCAGACCACTACAGAAATTTTGGTATATTGCCAAAATGTTAACCGCATGAGAAGCGCCGGTAAAATGAATGAAGTTAACAAAAATTTATTAAGTTCTAATTACTCTGCCATAATGGCTAATGAAACAAGTTGGGATGATAGTGTGAGAGATGAAAAAGGTTTTGGTAACAATTATAACGTTTATAGAGACGACCGCAATTTTCATTGGTCTGGAAAAAAATCGTGAGGTGGAGTATTAATAGCGACTTCGACCCAATTCAGAAATCATTATGGCTACTAAATTTAAAGAATTCGAATATGTATGGGTAAAAGCGCAAGTAGCAGACGAAACACATGTCTTTGCTTCGGTATACTTTCCTCCGAACAATGCTCATAAGGACACGTATGATAAGTTTTTTTTTGGAAAAGCGGAAGAAATTTTGTCTAGTTTACGTACAAGTTCATATACATGGGGACTTTAACCAACTCAACGTTGACTTTATTTCTGATATGGACAATGAAAGCATCTTACTTCCAGTCGTTGGGGAAAATGAAACACTCCATTTCATTTTTGACAAAATTGCAAATTTAGGACTCAATCAAATTAACCATGTGAAAAATCAACAAAATTGTTATTTAAACCTTTTATAAACAAATACTTATGAAGATTTCTGTGTGACTGAATCGTTAAGTCCCATATGGAGAAATGAAATGTTTCACACAGCAATAGAATATTCTTTATTCGTTCACATAAATGAAAGAACCAACGACTGCGAATTTGATGAAATCTTTGATTACAATTCAGCAAATTATGAATCATATTTAACTGACCGCCATCAAATAGTAAAATACAAAGGAAAGACATCAAATCCCGTTGATGTCACTTCAGGAGTTCCTCAAGGCTCCCATTTAGGACCACTTTTATTTATTCTCTTCGTCAATGACATATCTTTCATTATTAAGAAATTCAAAGTTTTAATACATGCTGACGACATTAAACTTTTTATGGAAATAAAAGATGCCAAAGACATCATCACATTCAAAGAGGAAATACAGATATTCCATACTTGGTGTCAAAAAATAAAAGCTACAATTAAATATAAACAAATGTAACTCAATTACCATTAGTAGAAAACGAATCCTACCCAATACAACAATCACTTTAGGAAACCAAATCGTAGAAAAGTGTGATAGAGTCAGGGATCTAGGTGTTATGTTGGACTCAAAACTTACTTATACCGATCATTATAACACAATTATTAACAGAGCTAACAACATGCTTGGTTTCTTAAAACGTTTCTGCTATAACTTTCACGATCCGTATACGATAAAAACATTGTACATTGCTTATGTAAGGTCGATATTAGAATATTGCAGCATAGTTTGGTCTCCTTTTTCAATCACACACGAAGAAAGAATAGAGTCCGTTCAAAAGCAGTTTCTATTGTATGCACTCCGCAAGTTAGGTTGGACTGTATTTCCTCGGCCATCTTACACAGCTCGGTGTATGCTCATAAATATCCAAACATTAAAAGAGCGTCGTGAATTTGCTATGATTTATTTCGTAAACGATATTGTATCACATCGCATTGATTCAATAGAACTATTGTCATCCTTAAATGTATATACACCATCTAGGCATTTACGAAATAGAAATATATTTGCTACAAATCGTCATCAAAAGAATTATGCCAAATTTGGACCCTTGAACCAAATGATGGATACATATAATAAGCACTGCGATAACATTGAATTTACAATGACAAAATCCAAATTAAAGCAATATTTTAATTCCTCGCATAACGTCAACTAGAAGTAATGTTTTAACTTGTTCTTAAGACATATTATAAAAAAATATAAACAAAGAAAAAATTGTAAAAATAGCACTTAAGACTACAATTGTAAAACGGTCTACACTGATTGACGACAAATAAATAAAATTAAAAAAACATATTATTGATGATTTCTGCTCGATAGAACGGAAATTGGCGATTACGACGAACTACATTCTACCCTACATCATAAGAAATGTGTTATTACAGATTAAATCGTATATGATATTGAATCAACTCGTTTAAAAATAAATTAAAATGTGCACGCATATGGCTTCCACTTATGTACACATAATCATTTTTTTGCCTTCTATACGATTTGTTTGTTTGTATATAGGGGAAATGACGGCTTCGGCATGCCAGACTATTTTCGGCAACCCAAATTGAAACACTATTTCCACTGGATTTTCTTACGAAAACACTTCGCTGAATGCATGCAAACGATTCTTTATGCTTTCAGCTTCAATTTGACTATATTTTTACCACTGAGAAAAAGCAATCTAGCAGGGGTTTCTTGAAATGAAACACACGCACTACAAATTGTAGCTGATTTCGAGTTGCCGATAATAGAACAGCAGTTTTACATGCAGTTCAAATGGAACGGTTGCCGAAGAAAAACTGGTTGCCGACAATACTCGCTCTCACTAGAGAAGATTGGAGCTTTGTAAAAGCGTTTCAAAACAGTTTTTGACAATTCTTTCGACTGAAATTGTTAGAGCAGCTGGCAGCAAAAGATTGTAAACAAACCAATACTGCATATGTGTGCGTTCCATAGAGAAAAAGGCTGTAGAAAGAAGCTCGCTGCTTAGGTTGCCGAGAATACGTAAATTCCCCTATGTTTGTATATAACAGAAACAACTTTGAATATACATGCATTTTGGTTGGCTATGTGGATCGAGAATCGGACCCAGTCGCCTACGACATGGTCTTGCCTTATTACTGCGCTTTTAACGACACAGCAAACAATTAATTTTGATATCTCATCAAAGTGGATGCACTGCAATCGTTATGAAAATATGGTGTGATATTACGTGCCAAAAAGGACAAAATTATCATTAATACAGTGCATGAACTGACATTACGCTGATTTTACTGCATTTGTTTATTTTTGTGGCCATAAAAATTACATGAGATTTCGACATGATTGAAGTGCATTCCTTTGATGTAATATTAAAATTTGTATTTTGCTGTGGACTGAGCTAAGGGAGGCCTCACTAGGAGACCACAAGAAAGCCAAATATGGTTATATTTTATTGTCCTTGAAAGTCATGTTGTACAGTGAAATGTAAAACAATTCTAGAATTGTGTAAAATTAAATTATAGTCATCTACAATAAAATAGTTTATTAAAGTTTGTCCAATACTTACGAAATTGTGGTTGTTTCCGTATACCCTAAAACCATATTGCAACCAATAGCACGAGCATGCGAGCGAATTTCCATACGAAGCTCATTCCACCACATATCACGTGTTTCCGGATCGTCTGGATTAGGAACTCGAGCTAATAACTTCACTGATCGAGCAGAAACTGTAGCACCTGTTATAAATAATAATTATTAAAATATGTATTATATGTTATAAGATCTAACCTTGGCCTATGATTATATTTCTAGCATTAGAGTTTCTGCTGTATGGATTTTCTACCCATTCGGAATTGAATGGATAGCTTAATCTTAGCATATACAATTTGAGACAAGTGGCTGCAACTTTCTAGATTAGTAATAGGCCTAGATTAGATCTCGTAGTTCATTATATATAAAGGTTACCTAAATGCAATACAAATCCTGGTGGCACTCTGGTGACAGTAAGGAAGGGATATTCAAGTAATTCTAGCGCATCATGGTTAAGCGTTTTTATCAAAATACTGTTTGGTTGAACTCTTGATCCAACTCCAAAGTAACGATCATTAGACGTCAGAGAGCTACCTGAGAATGGATACAATAATTAAGTAACAAATTTAGCTGATTTTTTTTTTGAAATTTAATCTAGTAGAACAATTTGGGATGATGAAAGCTAGGGGTCGTGAATATTTTTGAAATATAAATCACGATCATTGATATTCATCACGATACTTTTTTTGGGGCCTTTCTCACTCTAGAAACCATTTGGCAAAATGTACGGAACTAAAGATACTATTTCATTGATAAGATATTAAGATATTCAATACCTTAAGGGGCTGTCCACATGTCAAGTAGACATTTTTTAGATGTTTTAGATACCCCCACGGGGTATCGAGCAATGCGAAACATGTGTTTCGGCACTTCAACATCAGAAAACTTCCGGACATACGACCAAGGCTCCACCATCAAACGCCTATAGTGCCACATGTAAGTAAGACAGTGAACATCTTCAGCTAGCCAAAGCATCCCGTGAGGAGTACCGTGAGGATGGTGATGTCGTCAAATCTGGGCATGTTGTAGTGGCGGTTGATTTGCAAAAGGTATTTCTAATGAATAATTATAGATGGTTGTGATTGTGAATTTACGCTAACCATTGTTTCCCCTTTCAATAGGTCATTCAGCTGCCTTGATGGATTGAAGACAGTTGTGCTCTCACAAACGCTAATAGCGTTTAATGAAACATTCGCCCCTGTCGGGAAGTACACGCAGACAATTCCTGTTCTGGCATGTGTGTGGAATGAAGCTGTGAGCGGCCGATCATCTAACGATCTAGCTGGGTGTTTTCATACGATTATCACCAGATTTAGTGTGGAAATGCTTGTTTTGAGGCTGGAAAACTGTGCGCCCCAAAACAAAAATTGGAATATTTTCCTTCACCTCATCCTTCATATAAATTCCAAAAATGTTGAGATGGTTCTAAAAAAATTGTATCAGGACACACCTTCATGGCAGCAGCTTCCACGCCGCAGTTGAAGGTGCAATGAGACGAAACCCACCGGTGACATACCCAGACTTTACAGCTGTGGTTGAAGGCGCGAAAAAAAAGTTGAGGTTTTGGACATGCTTCCACAGCATTTCTTCCCTAACGTTTTCCCAGTACGTGCTAAACCAGCTGAGCCCTCGACCATATATCGAGAACATAAGAAGAGTTGTCGTCAAGAAAGGCTGATTTAATCTATATTATAGCAGCTTTGTGAACGGTGACGATTTGGAAAGCTGTAAGATATTAACAGCCAAGCAGGAAAAAGTGGTTTCAGTGGAGCACTTCGACCTTGAGGAACATTTGATAAAGAGAAGTCAACCCAGAGGAATTGACCTGGACAGAAAAGCTGCATTGCTGAAAACTATTTTGCCATTGGTAGAGGAAGGAAGTTACCTGAGCCCATGGAAAACAGGACGGCTAATTTTTTTTTTCATCGCTTTAATATGCCATTATTATTTTTTACTTTGTTTTCCCAAGAGACGAACCAGCTAAAGGCTGAAAGTCTCTATAATAAAGCAAAAAAACTTTGCTTTCATTCAATAGTATGTATTAAACAGCACGGAAATAAGAATCCATACTAAAAATACTTGCTAAATGCCTTTGGTTGCGCAATAAGGACGAGCTGGCTGCAATGGTTCCGCATGTTTATTAGGATTTATGACATTGTCTTCAGAGTTCGATGGTGTTTTAGAAATAGTACAAGAACTGGAGATTTTCTTGAGCGGTGTTCCTTTCTAGAACACTGCTCGACGCAGGATCTTGAATCTTCACTCGGTTTCCATTCTTTTCTATGACGTTATATTCCTTTCTTCCAAAAGTTGGAGTAAGTTTTCCGGTTGAGACGAGATTTTGCAACAGGACACGGTCTCCTTTTTAAATATTTGATAGCTGTGCGTGACGCTTTAAATCTTCTCTTTCTTTTCCTCTGTATTTCAGAATAATGTCTCTCTCTTGAACACCGGAACTCACTGCCGGTGCTGTTTCTATGTCGCTTATTGACGGAATCTTGGAACGGATTAACCTGCTTTGCAGTAACACGGAGGGAGCTTTACCTGTGACACTATGCGGGGTTGTATCATACATTAACAGATATTGAAGCAAGTCTGTCTTCCATTCACGATTCTTACATTTGTCATACATAATGGGACTGATATGCGATTACTTTTAAGATGGTACAAACAGACCTCATCGTTTTTCCCTGTTATTTCAGAACAAACAACTCGATTGTATACTATTTAGATCAAGAATAATAAAAATTAGGCTTATTAGTGCACGTATCTCAAAATCGTCGAAAAGTCATACGGGACTGATATGCGATTCTAGGTCAACTATTAATTCGACAAGGAAATTTTAACAGTATTTTATCCATAAATTTCTATTTTTTTCAAAATAGAAAATAAAATAAATTAATTCAATGGACTTTATTACGGGTGTCACTACACGGTGATAAGGAAGTGATATTCGGAATAAGAGCCGTGATTGCCGTACAAATCAAATGGGATTCACTTCACCGTGACGACAAGTGACAAGTTTTCACCCTGAAGTGACATCCGTAATAAGCCCCAATACCTTCACTGCAATTAATTTCTAGAGAATTATTGTACAAAACGCATTTGAATTTTGAAAAATGTCGTAAAATGTGTAAGTTGGGCATATCTTGACTGCGCAATATAAAAATCAGTTGATCCTAAATAAGGTTTTAAGAAGAACTCAGAATACCGCGTCGTAGGTATTTATTTAGCTTAAACATGATTTCAAAGCATATGCAGACTGTTTGCATCATATTACACATAATATGTATTTAATTTGATATAAAACTACCATTATTTACAAAAGGCGGGACATAGTGAGCAATCGTTGGATGGGTAGAGTGAGTAGAGAAAAAAGTAACCTTCTCGGTAACTTCACTTATTTACTGCCGCTCTTCGCATGTCCGTCCCATAGCGAAAATCAGCAAGCCGAGAAAATCGCGTTTTAAGTTTGCTTCGTACCATTGTTTCTTATGTGATGGGACAACCAATGTGACTGTCTTTCCAAACTTTTTCAGAACAAAGTTGATGAGTTCATCCATTATTATGAAAATATGGGTAATTAGTTACCACTTGCATTGAAAAACTCAGTTTTGACAAAAACGACTATGAGACCGACATGCGAAATGCGGCAGTTTAGCAGTGGTTTGGTCGGTAATATGGTCCGCTATTACAAGAAGAGTTCAGTTCTGCAAAATTGGTCAAAGGACAACATGAAACTTGCAGTGGAAGCAGTAAACCGTGGGGAATCCGTGAATCAAACGGCTCGTGAGTATTGTGTTCCACGTGCAACTCTTATAGCACGCTACGTTATTTCGGTGAATTAAGAAAAAAAACATATCGGATCATTTGCTACTGTTTTTTCGAACGCTGAGGAGAACGAACTGGTGTCGCATATCCTAAAGCTGGAAGTGTTCTGTTACGGAATAACTGTTCGAGACATCCGCAGCTTGGCTTTTCAGATGGTGGTTCGGAATAAAATACAGCACCCGTTCAACGTCGAGAGTCAACTGGCTGGCAAAATCTGGCTCAAGGGTTTCCGGAATGTATTCTACCTCTCAATCCCCTGATACCTCGTAAACTGTTGGACAAAGTTTTAACCTTTCAAAAGTATACACGAAACAATCAATTTGTACAACGTGGCTTGTTCATTATGCCCCACCTGGTATCTTAAATTCACAATTTCACATGTTCCAAAAGCATTTTTCATCTCTTTATTTTTTTCACATTTCAACGGTCAGTTTATGATAATAAGATACCTTTATGAGATTTAACGCTGCAAATGTACAATTATTTTGCTTACTGGCTTTTTTCCGTGATTTGTTTTCCGTACTGAGTACCAATGCTACTGACGCCAAGGTGCCACACCTGGACCTAGACCCTACCTATTGACCAATCAACTCATAAACCGGGCACTATCGGCTTTACTTCCCTTCCTAAGGAAGGTGTGATCAGGTGATCAAGCCGTTTTGAACTAGAAATGCTCATATGCAACAAAAAAAGCGTTTCTACTGGATTAATCATTCAAAGCAAACACTACCCTAATTAAAAATACCATACCCGAACGATAACCCAAATGATGGAACTATTCCACAAATGGTTTGGATGATACTCTGAAAACGTCGTTAAGCAAAAAAACCATAGCAAATTTAGTAGGGTAACTTATAATTTTTAGTAGCTCTTCTATCCGTACGTTCATTCATGCTAACAGCAGTCACAAAAAATAGAAAAAAGCGATAAAAGTTTTTATTTACGCACATATATTTTTATTATTGTAATAACAAAAGTCATCTGAATTGCTCATAACAACACCATATGAATTCTGTGTGATTTGTTAAGTTCCAATTTCAATAACGCGCTTATTGAATACTTGGGCAGTTAAAGAAAATCGATTAAGCGAATTGATCATTGCAGATAGGGCATATTGAAATGTTCATCTAGATTCGTATTCAGGCTTACTTTTTTGTGATCCTGAGAGTGAAAGTATGAGTACGTATGGGGGAAAGTCAGTAAAGACGGACGTAGCAGGAAAGATGTAACATAAACAATCCATTTGATTTAGTTAATATTAAGGGCTAGATCACTTTCACCTAAATGCTTCAAATCAAAACATTATTTTAGAATTAATTTAATACTTCAAATTTATTCTAAAAGATGTCTCTGAGACATCACCTCAGATTGCAAAAAGCTCTTGTCGATGATTTCCTTTTATTAATTCGTACAAAACGACGAGAGCTTTTTTCTAATCTGAAATTATGTCTCAGAGATTACCATTTTTGATATTTTCACTTACTCACTAGGTCACTTTCAACTTAAGTGTCCATCTTTCCTACTGTTTCCGTCTTTACCGACGTCCCTCTCCACACAAAGCCTTACGAAAGAAATGAAGAACACACTCATTCGAATAGGAATTGAAACTGTTTGTTTGGATAATGAAGTTTCATTAGCGATGTGGTGAATGAAAATTGAACGAATGATGATCAATGAAAATGCTTTTTTAGATACTCAATGCAATTTGTGAGGGAATTATTTTATGTGTTTACAAAAATGGATGTATATTAATATATTCCTGATCAGTGGTTCTCGCGGTTACGCGAAATAATATTCCATATCGAAATTTGCCAAATAATTTCGATGATGTTAATTTATGTAGATTTTTGGTCATTTTTCTTTATAGTTTAAATGTCTGCTCTGTAATTATGTCAATAATAAAGATTAGACAATAAAGAAAAGTGACTAATTTTATTTCAATCTCAATTTATATCATATTATAGTTTATAGTTATATAACAGTTTTGAACTGGGATATTAGTGGAATACTCCCAAGAGCAAAAAATGTGATAATTTTCCATTTTAATCTCCTTAGTATTTTGTAACCATGAAAACATACGTATTTCAACTACAATGTGCAGTTTCATCAATGACATTCCCACTAAAGTCCTATTGAAATCTATCTGTCTGCAGTACTCATCCCCTAGGGTTCCTCAGTTCATCGAATACAGAGTTGATTGGTACATAACACGTGACTCTCCTTGCCTAAGAACGAAAATGTGTTTTCAAGTTATATTGTAGGAGCCGTTCATAAGCTACGCAGACACTTTAGAAAGGAGGTGGTGGCGAGTGTCAACGGTTGTAACGATTGTCTACACAGGAGGAGGGAGTCTAAAACCTCTCAAAAACTAGACATAGTTTATGAACAGCCCCTAAACTTTTCCAACATAAGACAAACAACTTGGTATGTTCTATAACCAAAATTGTTACTTGGGATATAGACTACCCTATAAGTAAATAATGCTTACTTTTAGCATACCTTTAGGAGTGATACTCAAATCAGAATCAGATGATCGTCGATGTATTGCGCTCGAGTTATGATCCTTTATAATCACTATAGCAGAGCCAGGAGTTCCAGCTTTTGCAGGGCTTTGGGATATACGATTACCAGCAGAATCCGTAGATTCTCGATTGGGTTTTGCTCCATTAATTATTGGCACGGGATTGTTAGTTTGTTCAGTCCTAAAACGTATAAATAATTGACATGCATTAATAAGTATGGCATAAATCGTTACCAGGGCAATAAATCTAAAAATGAAATGCAGTTATAAGGAAGCACAGTTAATGGGAGAAATATCCGTTCTTTGCTGTTTATGGTGTTATAAACAATTGATCAATACTCGTCAACAAATCTTCGCCAACTGATTGATTTACACTTGGTCCACCCACCTAGCTCGCCGTGGTAATTGCCTTAATGTGCAAATTCCAAGCGAACGACGCAAATTTTGTTGTCCGTAATTCTTGTAGCTTCTGCTTGGTGGATGATAACATAATGGGTCGGCCGCTCATTACAAAAGGGCAGAAATAAAATCTGCTAGCAAGCATTGGATTGGAATCTGGCAGGGCACGTTGGCCCAATGTACCACTGCGTATGCTCAGGATAGTGGATCGTTTCTACCCGTCTGGATGTTGAAATCCCCGATGAACGTTATTGATTCTTCGCATCTACGTCCATTCCTATTGGGAGCACACGTTGAAGGTGACGAATTTTTTAAATACAGATCAATTTTAATAAAAAGTTCAAAATCCTCAATCAACCATGATACGTCATTGGCTTCAAATATCTAAGATCTTTCAGGGATAATTCAAGGAGTTTGGTTTAGACGGGACACATCAACTAGATGAGCACTATTTCTCTCAACGTTAGAGCCTATTCAGAATTTTGATTGCTTTTTCATTGTTGGACATGAACGCAAAGCATAATGCATATATTGGTTGGTATAATGATAAAGCATAATGGACGATAGAAATAGACGAGTGCACGGATGGATTTGAGTTCACTCACGCGAGAAAAAGTGGCACAAGCTGCGGGCAATGTTTACTAATAATTAGTGTTAATGATCGTTATTCATGAACATTTAGTGTTCATGATTAGTAAACATTTTCCGCAACTTGTGCCACTTTTTTTCGAGTGAGTGAACACAAATCCATCCGTGCACTCGTCCATAGTTCATAATTAACTGAAGAATTACAAAATGTTCCATTCTTTCTCTTTTGGCTTTTCTTCGAGAACAATTTTCTTCTTTGAAAAAAGCAAAATATCTATGCAAACAAGTCAACACACATGCATTATTTTCGTTATTTTCGAATGTGATTGATATCGATTAGGAACCAGCTGAAATGTCGCATTTGTTTATACCTTAAAATGATAGATAAATTATTTCATTTTGAGAATATTGTCCTTAGGTAGTGATCTTGACCATAGAATTTATCCCGTGTCTGACCATTAGACTGAAAGTTATTAGACCGAATGGCCATTAGGTCGAATAGTCACTAGGCCGAATGGTCATCCCGAATGATTTGGTTTGGCTCACCCAAACTTAAATAAATTTTGACGAGCTTCCTTACACAGTTATGAAATTGGATTGTTAGTGGAATACTCATAATAGCAGAAAAAATGTTATTTAATTCCACTTAGCATTTTGTATCCATGACAGATACGTACTTCGACTACAATGTGCAGTCTTCTTCAGCGTCATTCCCACTTAGTCACTTAGACACTGTTAAAGACTGTATAGGTTTTAAAATGTTCAATACTTAGATATTTTTTCAGAGTATTCGGAATTGGAAAACCTGAATTTGAGAGACGATTTTTGTATTTTCCGGAAGAGAAGAAATTTAATACAAATTTGAAGGATTCAAGTTTGGCACACAATTGAAATGCAATGATTTTTAGTATTATTTCTTTTTTTCAAACATGAGAAGTTCTTTCAAGTTTTACACTGCCTATCAGTCCCACATGAATTTTCGTCAATTTTGAGATAACAACGCTATCCACTATCAATTGGCAACTACTTTCATATTATGCGATAAAACTACGGACTTTGATCATGAAAAATGTGAAAAAAAACGTCAAGCCAGTCCCATCCTGAAATTCAATCGTCTAGAAGTTAATTTACAGTTCTCTTTTGTAAAAAATATATTTTTCGCTGATATAACAAATCATGCTGGCTTCATTGCAACCAGTGGCGTCCCGTAACCTCACTTTTTACCTGTGCACCAACTTTCAAAACCTAATTTAATGCCATATTCATACTCGAATCGGTTGAAAAATACACTTAATCTTCTTGTTTACTCGATATCTATCCATTGCAAGTAATATTTTGATAATTGTTTATGTTTTGAGAGTTGGTGTACAGGTTAAGGAAACGCCACTGATTGCAACTGATTTTAACTTGAAAAAATATCAATTAAATTACTATGATTTTTCAAATATTTTCATGGGCATTACACTTCGTAACTTCAACTGCCATTTTCTCAATGACTACTTTTTACATATGGGACTGATATGGGATTACAGGCAGTACAGGTTTTGTGATTTTTGGCATCACGAATAAAATATGCCATCACATTAATTTTCCATCCTATAAAAGCTGCTCATTATTTTCTCGCTCCTATGTGAGATGAATTCTTCTTTCTGATATTAAAAAAAATATAGTTTACTTTAGCTAAGAATTTCAATATTAGTTTTTTCTTCTAATTTCTGACATGAGACGCCATAATTATTGGCGATTATTATATTTTTCAGACCAGCTTCAGGCTCGCTCACCACCCGGAATGAACGCTCGGTGCATCATAGATTTGATATGGTTAGTAATATCAAAAAGTGTACATGCAAACGAAAAAGAGACGCAACCAGGATAAGTTTTTTAAAGTAATAATTTCATCTGAATACCCAACTAACCATAGCATATACGAGTGACATTGTCTTATTCTGAACCCACATTTAAGTTATTTTGTGGTAACTTGGATACTTTTTTATGGTATCAAGCTGGAGCTGCGTGACAGCTTATTTTTCAAAACCTGACCCATGTGAGTAAATTTTGCTTCTATCTTTCGACAAAACTATAGAAGGACTAGCCTGTGTTGGCAGTTTGAACACTGGTTCCAGTTTATTGTTTCAAGCTAGTTTTGGAAAAAAAATGCTGTGACGTGAGTACGTATTGACATCGAGGCAAAAGATATATCCGCGTAGTAATCCGATTGAATTAGTATTGAATTGTGAATCCCGTAGACCACGTTAAATCCGACAGTCGCGAAAAGTTAAAAATGCACTTGACAAAATAGAATAAACGTATTAACGAGCCAAATGACACGTCCGCGTAGTACTCCGATTGAATCAGTAAATCTGTTGAAGTATAAAATATCTAAACTAAGTGAGTTCCGTAAACCGAGCAAGTTCCAAACTCCGCGCGAAACAGTATAATATAAAACAGCTAATTAGCAGAGTGCCACCAAAATAAATGTGATAGCCTATGTTGGCAAGTTGATTAATTTTGATTTTCTCCCTAAACATTCTACTACTACCTATAGATATTTAAGATTTCGCGTCCTAAATTGATTTTGATCCTTTCTAAATTAAATTTCCAATTCTAATTTTGATCTAAATTGATCCTGAAGATTTGGACTAGATTACAAAAACTACACGCAAACCAAAAATTTATTACAATGAATGTTAGTTCCACTTCCTATCATCCTCTGTTCATGAACATCGCAGCGAATGTTAGAAGTTGACCTTGCAGGCGATGTAATGGTTTTTTGTCTTTTTTATTTCGTGTTCTATCTACGCTTTCGACTATACCAGTAAGCTTTTTATGTATAAGATTGTAGAACTACGCACACACTTGCCTTGAATCTCGAATCTCTCCAGCAGAAAAAGCAGACGAAGTCGAGTATGAGAGGAAATGAGCGCTTCATGTTTGCTTTTAGGCTATCCATATTCAGAAGCATGAAGAGAGCAGTGGAGAAAGCACAGGTCTGATAATCGCAAAGTTCGTGATTCGTATCATTCTTCCTATTTTATTTTTTTTCGACATAATTAATTTCACTCACTAATACACTCCACATTTTTGGTCTCCAATTTTCTTGCATTGGACCGCAGCTAGGTATATCGCATCCTCGGTTCATGCGGTATCCACTAACATCCTCTGATGATGAATCCCACATAATTGTAAGCGAATCTTACATCCCCGGTTGGGTGAACATAAGCCCAGAACACGTTTGGTAAGCTCTATCGAATTGCGCATTACTAATGGGGTGTTTGCACTTATTCTACTGCACTAGCGCTAATGAGCCAGCTGCTAGCAAAAAAGCTCACCAGCATAATGTAAAAAGGGCATAAGCCTCTACCAGTATGAGATTTCAGGAGCATATGCCGAGTCATATGCCGCTCAAAGGTAAATACTTCGAACAAAGGTTTGTTTTTTTCCTTGATTTGTTTTTCGTCGATCTTGTTTTCCGTGCTGAGCACCAATGCTACCGACGCACAGTGGGAAAAAATCGAAATAAAAGGAGCAAAATTCATTATCTCTGATCAGCGCTGATTTAAGCCTCTGTTCGGGACTTAACACTACTGCGAACAGTAAATTGATCTATTGTAGTATATCCCGTGTCCTTAGTTTAGGGCATGTCGTATTACTCCATCACTATTGAGAAATGATGAAGTATTCGATTTTTTTTTACAGTTGCCACTCTTGCATTTATCGCAAGGATTCGACTCTAATTGAAAGGTCCCGCTATTTATACCCTTCGGAGTGTTGAAACACCCTCCAAAGGCGCGCTCCTTTGTCAGTCAAAATTGGATTCCTTAGCAACAAAATTAAGGAATGACACCGATAATGACCATGCATCAGAACCCTAGTCTTAACCACATCAAACTAGGGAACAACGAATAGAAGATTTGGAATCACATATATGAAGACTAACTAACTCATTTTTTTTCCTTGTTTCAAGATCATCCTCGGTAGACAAAGCCGAGTCTTGTCACTATCAACAAGGCATAAAAAGTAACAAGGACTAAGATGTGTTCCTTGGATTACTGAAAAATCCTGTTCCCCTAGTTAGAAGTAGTCAGGACTAGGAATCGGTGGTAGATCTTACATCCCGTAACGTACCACGATAAGATGATCTACCCACGTTACGGGGCATATCATGACTTATTTCTTCAGTAAAAGGGGGAAATA